AGACTTGAGACTTGTCCGACGCCAGGCGCTCCCTTATTGCTCTGGAATCTGGCCTTCAGTCCGCCGGGATGCCGAGGGTGCGGCTGTCTTGGGGATGTCCTTCCGTTCTTGAGTGAGGTCCTGGGAGTTGACCGCATTTGCCATGACAGAGTTCCACGAACCCAACACAGAGGACTGGATGGCCCTGGGGAGGCAAGGCTGCACGATGTAAGAAAGCAGCACGATGACACGACTGCGGAAGGGTTGTCTCAGCTCACCTCAGCAGGGACACAACAACAGGATAGGAGAGGAAGATATTTTCGTGCGAGGCATCCTATTATGAGTGAAAGGGCCGGGCTCAAGACCCATGTGCTCGTCCAAGATGCAAAACAGAACCGACCGGATCGGTTTCTGCGAACCATGCCGCTTGCGCAGGTACTGTGGCCCAGCAGGGCCAGCACCTGCTGCTCCGGCGAGTTGGCAGCACCTCTCTTGGCACACAGCTTCTCGTCTGACAGAGCATCTAGCCGGGGCGCAGTATGCAGAGGTGTAGGTTCTGTAGGTCCTTCGCCTTGACCGAGCCTTTTGAACCCCAATAAGCATGGGTTGTTTGTACTTAGCTTGTGACGAATGTGCGGTACGATACTGTGCAAGCTGCGGCTGTCAGTGAGTGTAGACATGCAGGAGCATTGTCCTGAAGGCTCGCAGTATCGCAGTTTGAACTCACACGTCAGAGTGAATCACTGCTCTTAGTCGTGGTACGTCATATCCAAGATGCCAGCACAACATAGTCGACACATCAGCCTGTGGAATGACAGGTGCAAGCTTGTCGTAGAAGATGTCGCAGTAAACTTGAGAATACCGTCTCGTCACCAAATGTCACCAAGACGGACGAGACGCAGAGCTGCAGAAGAAAGTTGCTGCAAGCCCAAACGTAGGTCAGAATGGAGTTCGGTATTCGACCGACATGTCAGTCTTCAACATCGCGGGCTGAGGATCACATGCGTCGCAGAGCGTGCGGTCTCCGGCCTACAGAAGGAGACATGCCGCGACCCGAGTCTCTATAAGTACCTCAGTGACAATCTCCCGTCTGCGCTCTCTAGTGCTCTAGTGTTGATTGACTCGCGAAGCTATTGCTGTTGAGTTATTGAGTTGACTGCCCACGTTTCCCTCTTGCTTTGGCGCTGCGCTTCTGACCAGAAGTAGTATTGCATGCACCAGCGCCCGCGATGAGAGGGAAGACACGATATGACCTCGGGCACATGCATTAGCTAAATCATGATGGCCTCTTAGAAGAAGAAGCTTTTTGCACGATGCTGACCTGAGTGAGCGAGGAGCATGCGGTCATGCGAGCACGGGAGCATGATCTAAGAAGTGGTGCTTGACACAGAATGAAAGAGGCAGCACTGGCACCAGCCTTAACACTCCGGGTTGGACCACTCGCACAGACAAGTATGGAAACGAGCATCCCACTACTTGGGCCTCGGCTTGAAGGGAGGGCACGAAGCTTGAGTCCCAGTGAGGTTTGAAGCGGACCGCGTTGCCTACTCCAGACATGTGAGGCTTTGTCTTCGTTCTGATTCTTGCTCGACCTGTCTTCACCTGTGAGAAGCGAATGGTTGCAATCGGCCAGTGCAGTGGCTTCCTCACGCCTCCCGTGCGTGCAGCAGGCGGCACTACAATGCTGCTGGCATTCAGGCCTTCCGGCATGCTGCACGTAGCCCGCAGCTTTAATCAAGCCTGCCAGATGTTTTGCCCATAGTGTGTCAAGAAGGCAGCGGATAACGCCTCACGTGCATCAGAGGCTGTTCCGTGGCACTGCCATGCGCGCGGGGGGCTTCAGGACGGGACTCGCTGTTCCAAACCACAGGCTGTAGTGTCTCTTCGCGAGATCGTTTTGAAGCAGAAACCTGAAGGACGCTCCTCCCCAAACGACCGTCGATGGTTGCGGAAATAGGAGCGGAGACACCACCATGCACTCTGTGTCTGGAGCTGCGTCTATCAGTTTCAGCTAGCAGAATACATTGTTCGCACCGACGTTTAGTAATGTTGGCTCGAAAGTGCGAGCCTGCTTGCTTGAGCTTGTAATTTGTAGATTCATTGTAGATTGTAGATAGTTCTCATGAGCAACTGATCGCCATCAATTCCTTGGCCTGGACCCATGAGAAGAGAGATCATCACAGATTCAGCGGGGTCAACTTTCGATGGGACCGTACAGACCTGTTCCAAGCCAAGCCAAGACGTATCAGAAGGTGATCGTGTTATTTTGTAGGAAAGCGTGCTTGAGCCATGGGGCAGCTCGCAGGTGCTTGGAGCGTCTTCTCGAGCTTTGAGTCCAGGGCGCTCGGTCGAGGTCGCCTGGCCCTTGCCAGCCTGGCCCTGGCGACCGTCGCTTTGGCCTCAGAGGTCGGGCCCCACCAGGGCAATGTGCCATAACGTGGTGGTAACCGTTTCGGCTCCGGCCTGGAGGACTACATGGCCAGAGTCGATCCATCGCTGCACACATGGACAAGGACCGTCCGAGTGGCCGAAGACGCGCCACTTCTCGGCAAATCCAACAAATGATAGCGTTGCCTTGCAGATTCACTGGCAAGATGTTGGGGCGTTTTTTTTTGGAAGTGCAGTTGGCTATGGTGCCAAGTGGGAGGTTCCTCCTCCTGGAGATGCACCAGGGGAGTCTCAAAGCCTTCCTGAACGGGCAAGCACAGATGGACTTGCCGCAGCCTCGGTCGTTTGCGTGTCAAGCTGAGATCTTTGACATTCAGTGTCCGTTGGTTCGGCATGCAGCTGGAAAACAGGCCACAAGAGCAGGAGGAGCAGTTGCTGAGTGCGTTTCCCGCAGAAGCGCTGACGGCAGAAGCCCGGGCGCCCCAAATACAAAGCGAGCGCTGGGCGGCGAAGATCCTGCGGTACTTCGACTGTTGGTAGTCTTGTTCTCCTTGACAACGCTGATGTAAGCATCTGACATATTGCACATTGCAGAAGACCTGCCAATTGAGGCATGCTGTGGGACAGCGAGTGGATCCAAACTGCGCTGTGAACACAGAGAACCATTTAGAGAAGGAAATCCTGGATACTCGCCTTAAGTGCAGACACTTTGGTGTGAAGCAGAGAAGTGCGGAGTGTCTTTTTAGAAGGGATATTTCTGTGCTGAGGCAGTTTTCCGCAGGCTGCGCAGTTGCTCGTCTCAATGCCTTGCTTGAGCCCTTTTGAGCCTTGCACTGTGCCAAGCTTCAGCCCGCTCAGGTCCTCCCGTCGGTTCCGTGTTGACCTTCGGGGGCCTCTACGGTGGTGTCCGCGGTGAAGGAATCAGCACGCCCCAGGTGCACTTCCTAGGATGGTGAGCCGCGGTGAGCAGGAGCCGATGTGCCAGACGATCCTGCCGTGGAGCTCATGTTGGAGCTGCAGCTCTCTCACTGCATTGAGATCGATACAGATAGTGCCCACATCGACGCCGCAAGCGATAGATAGAGACACGGTCTGCAACTACAGGATGCACCCTTCCGCCATCCGTCTGAGGCAGAGAGGAGTCGGGCAGTTGAAGGGGCTCTGCATGTTTTGCGACGAGAAGCAGGTGCGCAGCCTTCAATCTATGACCCTTGAGGCTTGCAACACATTCTGTCGGAGGTAAGATCACTGACTCGCGCGCAGGGGTTGCAGAGCGCAGCTCAGCTCTCTGAATCAATTGCGGTTCTCACTCGAGATAGCCAGAACCATCCTGTCCCCATCGGATTTCGAGGTACTGCGAACTCTGAACATACCTGACAGCCTCCCTTGGTCAGAACTTCAGCTTCCAGAAGAGTTTGCAGGCTTGGAGCTTGGAGACTTGCGGTTTGTTGGCCGGAAGATGTTTTTCACTGCCAGGTGAGCTGGACCTTCTTCGCTTTGATGGGCTGGAGCATGGAGTCTCCTGTCAGGTCTTGCGAAATGTCTTGCATGCTGGGGTCGCTCCCTGAGCCACTGTGTATCAGCGCGACCTGCTAGGAACAGGGGTTGGGTTCTGAATGGGTCACAAGGCGCGCCCTCGGCTGGTGGCCCTCTTGGTGCTCAGTCAGGTGGGCCATGGTGAGCCTTGCCATGCCTTGTCTGTTGTGCAGCTCACTGCAGTTTGGCCCTTCAGGTGCCGCCACCTTTCCAGTACTTTCCTCTCGGCCAGCTGGCTGCAAGTGCCTGCAGCTGTCGTGCTTCCCATGCGCAAGTATGTCCACAGCGCGCCTGCGAGTGTTTGCCTTTTCCCGAGGTGTTCCGGGATACGACTCTCCTCCGGCTCTGATGTCATGCTCTCTGTCTGGCGCGATAGAGGTGCGACACCACGTACTGTAGTGCTGTTGACATCAAGTGGCACTGTATGTTGCTGGAACACGTAGCAGAGTTTAAGGTTCTGGCCAAGCATGACCTCTTCCTGATTCGACTTACCGGGCCATATGCCCTTTTCGTACGGCAGAGCGAGTGGCCCGAGGTGCGTACAAACAGTCGCCTTCGTTCTTGCCTCGTTGCTGTCCTGTATGCCGCTGGAGGTGCTGCCCATAAACGAGTTCGACTGCTATCGCCGGGCATCTGTTTGGGGCCTGAAGGCAGCGCGTTCGTCTGTCCCGACTCTGCTTGGACACGGACGGAGCACAGGGCTTGTCAGTCAACTTCTGTACCCGCCGCATGCAGATGCAGGATATTCCTCTTGCATTCGTTCGCGAGTGGCTCCGTGAAGAAGTGGACCAGGCCACTCTGTGCAACCACCCTGCAAAAGCTGTGCAAAGTCCTGGAGGTTTTACCACGGCTATGGAGAAATCTTACTCACTTGCACTCGGACGGCGGCCCGTTTACCTTGGCTGTATGATGTGGCTTCCTTCTCTGCCAACTGAGAGCAGCGCTGCTCTCCCAAAGCGGAAAAGAAAATGCCAGTATGATGCACTCCGACTCGGGATTCTTGCGCTACCTTGAGCCAGTCTTTGCATCTACGCGAATCTGCAGATTTTGTTCTGCAAGTCGTGCAGAGTAGAGTGGAGCCGCAAACTTGCGGAGCCATGGATGCCATGGAAGTTGCCACCATGGCAGCACCTTTGGAGCTTTGGTTGCGTTTGAATTTTGCCGAAACCCCTGAAGCGTCTCTACAGCCGCCTGAAACTCGACCGACTTTCGAGGTGTCCTCGACATCCTCCGTGCACCCTGGTCGCTGGCGCAGTCGAGGATCTGAATCTTTTCACATGGCCATGCTTCGCTGCTTGACTTCCCGGTGCCAAGCGCAGGAACCACCTTAGCTAGAAGCGGCCCGGCTTGACTCTCAGATCCGCTTATGACAGCTCTTTGCCAATAAGGCTCAGATCCAGAGGAACCACGACGGTCAAAAGCCCCAGTAGAAAGCCACAGCTTTTCAGCGTCATCCTTTCAGGATAACTTTCCATGCTCAACTCCTCTCCCATCCCATGAAGCACTGAATGAGAGAAGATGCTGGGGCACCGTCCCAGTTCCTGAGGCCACGTCCTTTGGGCAGAGGTCTGCAGAGTCAGCCTCCTCAACTTGGCACACAGGCGCCCAGCGCCAGTCTGCCCTATACAAAGTGACATGAAGCGACAACTTTGCTGAAATGCAAGTATGTGAGCCGCGAATCACCGCGAGATGCACCCAGCGCGATCGAGCAGGTCGGAAGAGCAGTGAAATCGCTGGACTGCGCGCGCGCGCGTGTCGTAAACTGGCACTTGCACTGGTGCCTATGTGCCCGACAGTCTGGAACATGCGTGTATGCAGTTCGATATGCCTTTCTGTGTCCTTACCGGGGCACTGTGACAAAGCCGCGCAACACTAGGCACCGGATCACCGAAACTGCAGGCGTGGAACGAGGACCACCAAGACCCAGGCGCATCGAAACAAGCAGATAACTTCGAAATCCAGTCAACATGACGAAACACCCGGACAACAGCAGTAGCACACCTGAACATCAAAAGGAAGAAACTTGCAGGCACTCGCACAGCGAGACTTCCGGCAGTCACAGACATCGAGAAACAGCGACGCAATTTTGCCGAATCATCAAGATCGGAAGACGCCAAGTTCAACATCGGGACACCCAGACATAGAAGAGAGACCGCCGCGAGTAATGGGCCCTCTGCACTGACATCTCAGGAACACACAGCCCGAAGCTGGCTATTGGGGAACGGTCGAGATCACCACACCATAACAAAAACACAATAAAAACTACATTGCCTACGATGCACACGGGTTCGACAGGTCTCAATACAGTCAAGCCTGCTGATCGACTGGCACCCAGATCGAATCAGACACATCCTGAATGATATGTTCTAAGATCAGTACGTGACGTGTGCAGTGCCATTAGGATGTTTCGTGGCGCAGTTCAGTGTGAATCTGTGTGCTGACTTGCAGCTGTGCATTCTCGCATCTCCCCCGGTCAACTTGTGCCAGGCTGTTTGGCCTCCACGGCCATCGTCGGCCTGGCAGCCTCCAGGCAGTCCCAATCATGGCAGCAGTTGCTAAGTCTCCGTAGTCTGCAGTTTCAGTGCGAAGTTGGGAGGCCAACCAGACGAAGGCTGCAGAGCAGACAGCTGCGACAGACTTGCAGGGCTGCAGACTCGCCTGCTCGCGCCCGAGACGAACGAGATCTCTTTCGTTTGCACCTACTCATGCTTGCCATGTGAGGTCGTGCTAGAGGTCAAAGAAGTCGAAGCCAAAAGCTGTGAACTGAGAGGAGGAAGGCTAATGGGCGTTGCCCTGTGCACCTCCCATCTTGCAAGGCACAGATGAGGACGAGAAGCAGATCCTGAAGGGGCTCAACCTCACGATAAGGGCGGGCGAGGCCGCGTGCTCACACTTACCATGAAGACTGGGAGCTGCCTGCTTGTACAGGTCCATGCTGTCATGGGACCAAACGGTTTCGTTCTCAGTATGTGCTGAATTCTGCGACGGGTCAACTTAAAAGTCCTAGTCCTAGTACGTCTCGAAAATGCACATCTGCAGTTCAGGCTCTGGAAAGAGCACGCTTGCCAAAGTTCTCATAGGGGACTCGGCCTATGAGGCGGGCCAACATGTCCTCGTGCAGATTCTCCCATGCATGCTTGGGCCAAGTGGCGACCGCATGTCAAGCTGGCCCTTGGCAGGTCACGAAGGGCAGTGCCAAGTTAGGCGAGACTGACCTGCTGGAGATGGAACCTCATGTGGGTTCCACAGCTGCTCAGTGCCAGAGTAAAGAATTTGTGCGGCCTCACGACACGCCGCGAGCCCTCGAGGAACGAGCACTGGAAGGCCTTTTCCTCGCTTTCCAGTCACCTCCAGCTGTTGGAGGGGAAAGGTCCTCAGACTTGCTCTGACTTCTTCGTTTTCCCAAACACCATCAGTTTCCGTAGGTTTTTAAGAAACCATAGGTCTTATGGGTATTGTTAATAACCTACGTCTCCTTTTTGAGGTCAGCAATTTGGATTTCCTCAGGGCAGCCTACAACGCGCAGAGGCGCGCAGTGGCCTCAGAGGCTCTTGACGGAAAGCCTTAATTAGAATAGGGTTTGGGGGCCTATTCTACCATTGTTATAATCTATACTTATGATACAAGTATAGTATAAATGTAATGTAATTTATTGTAATACTACAATTCTGATAAGGAGCCCCCAAAATCCTATGGCGAGGACCCCAATTTCCCATTGGTGCTCTGCCGTGCGCGCTGTGCGTGTCTGAAGCTCTCGAAGCTTGTAGCCACTTGTTGCCTGCACTGGAAAAGCGATCCAAGTGAAACAGAACGAATGAGACGCGTCAAGAAAGATAATGAGCCCCTGTCGGTATTGGAGCGCATACTATACTGCCTTCCTTACATGTTGCAGTCCCATGGATGTGTAACAAACAGCAAGCACAGCCCACTTGCATACAAGCAGCATACTCGTAGTCAGCATTTTTGCGGCCGTTCGGATGTCTTCCGGCATACGACGACGAAAGGCTGGTTGAAAAGCTTGTGGTCGATTTCCAGAACACTGCACAAATGTCAAAGTTCTTGTCAGCATCTTTGCAGGTTCCTGGATCTGAAGCAGATGAGGGCCTCGCAAAATCGGGCGCGCTCGAGACTTTGAGAAAGTTCGATGTGTACAACAAGGTGCGGCGGTTTGAGCCGTTGCTTTGCTTCGTCGACAGCATCAGCTTGTCTGGAGAGGTCCATGAAGATTACATGCAGAAGCGACAGCTAGGGGGTGCTGTAACCCTCGTGACATGTGCAATACTTGCAATGCTGGTCTACTGCGTCTTGGATGCACTGGCTCTTGGCTTTTTGTGGGCGAGCTTCCGCTGACCCATACGTACGCACGCACGCACACGCACACGCACACGCACACGCACACGCACACGCACACGCACACGCACACGCACACGCGCACGCGCACGCGCACGCGCACGCGCACGCGCACGCGCACGCGCACGCGCACGCGAACGCGCACGCACGCGCACGCGCACGCGCACGCGCACGCGCGCGCACGCGCACGCGCACGCGCACGCGCGCGCACGCGCAGCGCGCACGCGCGCACGCGCACACGCGCAACACGCGCACACCGCGCACACCCGCACACCCCGACCGCACACCCGCACACCCGCACACACGCACACCCGCACACCCGCACACACCGCACACCCGCACACCCGCACACCCGCACACACGCACACACGCACACACGCACACCACGCACACGCACACGCACACGCACACGCACACGCACACGCGCACGCGCACGCGCACGCGCACGCGCAACACACACACACACACACACACACACACACACACACACACACACACACACACACACACACACACACACACACACACACACACACACACACACACACACACACACACACACACACACACCCACACACACACACACACACACACACACACACACACACACACACACACACACACACACACACACACACACACACACACACACACACACACACACACACACACACACACACACACACACACACACACACACACACACACACACACACGGCTCTGTGAATTGATAGTCCTCCGTTCTGCGAGAGTTGTTTTTTCATGTTCTGAACTGCGGCTGTGGCTGCATCTTGAGTGCAAGCAGCGGGACGAGCCATTTGTGACGCACTCAGGCGAAGTCTGCGAATTCTTTAGTGTTGAGGTGCTCCACAGCATCACTGTGCCTTGAATGCACCAAGAGATTTCACTGCACGGCCCCCTAAGATCCTAGCCTAAATCCCCGAAATCAATTCGCATCAGCTGAGGCTGGCAGGACGTGCGTAGAAAGCCCCAAATAATCAGAAACAATCATGTCTCTTCGAATCTTTAAGATACGCCGCACTTATTGTAAGTATCAGTATTGCTTCGGTTGCTGCCATCCAGTTGTCCATGTGCACGCAAGTTCGCATAGCAACGTGCGGTTGTGTCCTGCAGCTTCTTCCCTGGGGAACCCAAAAGGTCGACACGAACATCGACAGGAAGCTTCCCATATCCTTGGACATCACTTTTCCGCATCTGCGATGCTCCGAGGCAAATTGACCAGACTGTGCGCAATGCAGCTCTGATAGTGGTTTGCCCTTCGTCAGTCTCGCACCTGCTTCTCGCAGAGACACAGAGTTTTTCCAGTTGTCTTTCGGGGCAGGTGTCCGTTGACACGGTGGATTCTGCTGGCGATACGCAGGCCGCACTTCTTGGTTGCAGCACGGTGTGTTGTGGGGGTAGCTCGGTGTGTAGGTAGATGCCCACGGTGGCCTCGACATGCTCAACCTCGATGCTGCTGGCAAGATATCCGCAGGTGAGCAGTGCTTCCTGTTCAAACCATGTGCGTGGACAGCGGTTTTGGTGCGCAAGTGATGTTTTTGTGCAGGTGATCCAGTGGCCAGCAAAGGTGATTGCTGGCCGTGCCTAGAAGCCGAGGATACGCAGCACAAGTGTTGCCCTCAGGCAGGCAGCAGTCAGGTTTTCCCGTCCGCACACTTTCAGCATTATCTTTTCTGCCGACATGTGTTGAGTGAAGCCGAGGTGCTGCAATAGTTGCCAAGAGCTCAAGGATGCGTACAACGACAAGGCAGGTCGGTGCCGGTAAGAAGCTTGACATTGTGGTGACATGGTGAAGTTGCGTGTGTTACGGATTGCATCATGCTGCTTGGTTCATGCATGGTCAGGGAGCTGTGACTGCAAGCATTTGCTGTCTACACCGGTTTGACTCTTGCCTCTAGCAGTTTGACGGTCTGCTTGATGCGCAGGGGCTGCCATACTTCCACGTGCTGGACACAGCAATGCAATGCAAGAGCTCCATTGGGTGCCGAATAAAAGGCAAAGTTGTTGTGAACAAGGCAGGTGAGCAGCCAGCAGTGATATCGGTTGGGTGCACTTAGCAACGTGAGTGACGTTGAACACCCTTGTCCAGGTCAGTGGAAATATCCATGTGGCCTTGGGGAAGTCTGTGCGGCGAGATGGCAAGCTGGTGCATGAATTCAACATTGAAGATATCGGCAATCTGGCAGCAAGCACACTCTGCGCGGTTCAGACAGTCTGGGGAAAGTGCAGCTCCCCGGGTTATGTAGCATCTTGTGACTTGTCCCTTCCAAAGCCTGTCGTCCTGCAGTCGTTAAACATTCGAGATATTCCAGCACCATGCACCATGCTGTCTAAGGCGATGGTTTCAACACATCGCACCACATTCATTCAATCACGTTTGGATCCTCGGATGTGTTTCGGTGACTGCGAGGGATTAGGAAGCCCTTGCAATGAAAAACCTCGAGTCGTCTAGTCTTATACCTTGTCTCAATTCCGTGATCTCTCGTTCTTACGCTAAGGAGAATATGTTTATGGACTTCAGTCTCCACTTGAAGGCATCCGAAAAATTGCCGGTGGCTGAGCTGTCGGTCGCGTGGAGACATTGGAACTGATAAGCCAGATGTCAGGTGTAAGAGCGACCTGGAAAGCCGTTTAGGCAGCTGAAGCCAGCTCTTCTGTGTTACTGTCACGCAGCAGCCGTTGAAAGTCCTTCGCTGCAGCTCTTGTGAAGACTCCATGTGTTGTTCACCGCACTTTGGGAGTGAACCGTTGGATAAATGTGCCCAGGCCCTGGTAAGTCGACTCAGCCCAGTCGTGATTGAAGCTTAACTGGCTGACAACCGTAAGTGACAACATCGCTGAACATGTCTGCAAATCTGAGCATACCGGAAAATCATACGGAAGGGAACAAGAGCTCAGGCCGGCGCTGGCTCTTGGATGTGCGTCGCTCAGCTTTTTGCAGCGTTGTGGGTCTGCTGCGTAGGTGCTCCAACCGCAGGTATCACTACTATGTCAAGCTCGTGCCAACGGTGTACATCAGCCGTTGGGGTACGACCACATACACAAACCAGTATTCCGTCACGGACAGCAGCTTGACTGCATGGGCAAGTGCACGGCCGGTGCGGTGGCTGTTTTGGCAGTTCAGGTGCTCGTAACGTTCAAGTTCGAGAAGGGGAGCTGTCCGGCTTGCCGGGGGTCTTCCTGGTCTACGACTTCAGCCCTTTTCTCATGCAGCAGACGGAGCAGGCATGGATTGCCCCACAGGTGAAGTTGAACCTCGTTCTACTGCAACGACAGTGACAGTAAAAACACTTGCAGAAGCACGGGTTGCGCGTTTGGAACTCTCGCCACAGTTTGCACAGAGTGGCAGGCATCGTGCTTTTGAGAGCAGAAGCGTGCATGCCAACAAGTCAAGCGGGCAAACGGGTCAGTCTTGTCAGGTGAAGCCCTGGTCTTACGTGTTTACCTCTATGTGTGCCATCGTGGGTGGTGCTTTCTCAGTTGCGACTCTCGCCGCGACCCGAGCTGCTGCATACTGAGTATCAGGTTTCAAAGATTGAGCGAGCGACCCGAGGTAGAAATGGCTCTGAGTGGCGTTGCTGGCTGCATCTGAGCAAGTTCAGCCAAAGAACGAAAGAAAGGGCCAGTCTGTTCTGCCAGCTTGCACCGACTTTACGTCCCTGTTTTGTGTTCCAAATGCCAGTATCCGCTAGATCCTACTTACACCCCCTGCACATGAACACAATTGTGCATGTCTAGCAGCCAGCAACTTCTCTGGTGAAATGTGGGCTGCTCTCCAGCGAGGGCTGTCATCCCCCTGCGAGCCCAACTGTTCTGAAACGGCGGGCGAGGGGTGTGATGGTGCAATACGATCTGTCTTGTGGCCCAGACAGAGGCAGTCCCCTGTTTTCCCCCCGAAGAAGAACGCGAGCTACAAGTACAACGGATTCTGCAGGCTTTTGGAGGAGATGCATAGTAGCATGGAGTTGTGGCTTGGTGTTTGAAGTAGCGCATCTCCAATAAGAAATCAGCAGAACCGCAGAAGGACGGGTCATCTCTCCTCTCGGGGTTGCTGAGGCGAGGGAGGAGCCAGAGTTGGACGTGATCGAGTTCTATGGACTTGTGACTCAAAAGTTACAGGCAGGGCAGTTGCACAACCTTGGCATGCTCAGCGGACTTGGGGGGCGGAGGACCTGAAGATTAATCCCGACTTCCTCAATCGAAACGTGAATGAAGGCTGGCAGCAACTTGTGTGATGGTTCTGCTGCTTGCAGCTCTTGGCCACTGAGAGGCTTCAGCGGAGGAGAGCGAAAGAGGCTCGCGGCCAGACCGGCAAGAAGATAGTAGTAAGAGTGGTACCAGCTGGGAGCAGTAGATTGGAACTTGCAGGAACGAGATGCTGCAGATGGCTGTTCTGCAGCCCAAGCTAGCCATCCTCGATGAGCCCCTTGTCTACAGAGAGATTGCATAGCCGTGTTCTGTCTCGTGCCACTTTCGCTGCATGGCACAGACCGCGAGAACAGGATTGATTCGGGACTCGACATAGATGCTCTCAAGGACACGTCTCTTCCGTGCTTGCACTTTTAGGCTTTGTTGCCTCGGAGGATGTGGCTGAAGCCATCCGAAGTGTCCGCGAGCAAGATCCTAACAGGGCCATGCTCGTCAGCGCCCTCAGCTTCTGCCAACTTGACAGTGCCTAAGCCCATGACTGACAAGGTCGTGACGCACTTCGAGAGGTTTCTCCGTTACGTTGAGGCCGACCATGTGCTGCACCCTTACTCCAACCAGACACGTCGTAGGAATATCGAGGATCCTCCTTCTGCCTCACTTCTGAGGCACGTGATGTACCAGGGGCGCATCCTGAAGAGTGGAGGCAAAGAGCTCGCTGACAAGCTTGACGAGGACGATCTCGTTGTTAAATGGCTGCTGCTAGTCTGGGTATGCTCGCGAACCGACATGCCATGCTTGAGGAGGGGTACGACTGGGTGCTGAAAGAAGCCAAGTAGGCTTTGTGAGTTTAGACGTCGTCGCATGAAGTGCTGGCTAACTCAAGTCTGCTGTAGAGCCAGTGCGCCGGAAATCTGGGGCAAAGCTGCAGATGGTGCGCAGGCAGGCAGTATCCACATTTTTCTTTCGAGCTTTTCGCCAAACCTCCTCCCCATGCAAACCCTAATGCGCACAAGGAAAAGGTCAAGCTGTGAAGTGTTGTAGCAATGTTAGATTGAGCATCTTCTGTCGCTAGCTCTGTTTCTCTGCTTGCAGCATGTCGGTTCCCAGTGCCACACTTTGATTCAGCCATGTTAAGGAAGGTACATCAGTCTCGTCCGTGTACCAATTGACCGCAAGAGCTGATCAACAAATTCAACTGAACCCCCACCAGTGCACATCAGTACACAGCCTATGCATCCGAAGCATGGCGGATCAGGCGTGTGTGGGTGGCATCGCTGCTCATGACATGTGCAGTCGATTCAGCAGATGCCTGTGTACTCGTACCGAGTGTGACGCGAGCGCGACTGCATCAAGAAAGTCGCCATAGCTGTGGAGGCAAGTTGCATTCCGCGGTCCGGTGGCTTCGTGGAGGAAGTGGACTTGTGTGATGCAAACTCAAACGCATGGAACAGCCCATGGAAGCATACTGCACAGGACCACTTCAGAGATGCAAGTTGCCTGCGGCAAGCGAGCCATTGCCTGCAGGAGGCTAGCAGTCTGAGTAGAGGATACCTCGGGTGGCAATGCTGTGGGGAGTTGCAGGCTTTAGCTGCTGCGGCTGCTGACACTGGTGGAAGAGAGGCCTCGTATGGGTTCGTGAAAATGGAGAAGAGTAGTAGGAGTGGGGCCGAGCAGCTTCGTCAAAGGTGGCAAGCCCAAACTGAGCCAAAGATGTCGGAGAACTGTCAATTTGTTGGTCTTGGCACGGCATCAGGTGCTGGTGCACGTGTACGAGCTCGTCGAGCTGCATCCTCGAGTTCGTTGCGCGCAAACTGCATGGAAGCTGGTACGAACACGAAATAACACGAAGCCAGCAGCTGTCGACAATTTGAGGTTCGTCCGCATCAACCAGATCTTTGCGCGTGAGGCCCAGACCAGGACCTGACCAGATGCTGTGCCTCTCGTTGCAGGGAGGTGCGGATCGGTTTCCCAGTCAGGTCAGAGATGATGCCCATCGGAGGTGCGCTCCATGCGGGTGTTGAGGTGGGACAACCAGGGAAGTGCGTACACACGGCCCTCCACGTGTGAAAAGACAGGTTTACGGTCGAGAGTGGAGCTACGGAGGTGCCCCAGGCTCGGACAGAGCGAAGAGAGTGCCGGGATGCATCACCGAAAACCTCCCAGCGCTCTCTCATTCTCTCTCTTTATCTCTCATTATCTATCTCTCTCTCTCTCTCTCTCTGTCTCTCTGTGCATGTCCAGTGGACTCAAAACTTGAAGCTGGGATGCGGCAAGCACACGCTCCCATGCCGGTCAGGGACAACGGTGTGACAACGGGCCTAATCTAAAGCGAACGAATCCAACGTAAGCGAACGGATCTTCTGCCAGCCGAGCACCGTGCACATTTTGGACTGTCTATGATGGTAGCATCCAGCATTCAAGAGGCTTGCAACGTTGGAAGTGAGAATGGCCCGTGCCGATCCGACTGCGTCGATCGAAAATTCTCATCCACAGTCGCCCTCCACCAGTGCATGCTGACCTTGGTTTTGGTTGCTCGAGACAGGCCGGCGAACCGGAGTGGTGTGCGAGGTGCCTCGGACCAATCGCAAACACAGGCTCGTCTCGAAGCCGAAGGCCCAAGAGACCGCAGCGAGAAGCGCCCCCTTCGCGCCAGGTATCGTGAGACGATTTCGCTGGGCACCACGCGACTCAGTGCATCGGAGGCCGTCGAAAAGCTGCACCAGCACTACGTGAGCAGCAGCAGTGCCGCCAGGTGGCTCTGGTGATTGGAGACCTGATTGAGAAGTGGTTGGGCGAGGTTGCCTGGGGTCAAAAACTGTCTGCGGGCATTCTAACTGTGCTGCCACTGCACCTCAGAGGATTATCACTGGCTCCACCGAAACTGCCTTGCCTTTGCCAACGAGTTCTGTCGTAAACTAGGCACCGCCGGCAATACACACCTCAAGTATATTGAAGCTCGTGCAGTCATTGCCGTTGTTTATGACAGGTGTTGGAAATATCCCAGCCTGGCCGGCATCCAAAAGAAAAGCCAACACTTATGAGACAGCTTCTGAATTCGGCATGTTCAGGATTGACCGACTGCCGCGAGGAGTTTGTGCGCTTGATGAAGGCTGCTTGCTGTTGGTTTGCCCTTCTTACAGCCAAGATCCGTCCTGCCTAGATTGATAGACAGGCGTGCGGAACTTGGCAGAGACCGTGAGAGGGCTGGCTGATGGCACCCGTGCAGCTGCACATGCCAGGGACTAAGTGCATTAGGCCATGAGGCCTGTCTGCATGATGCTTGAAACTCTGGTTCGCATGCTGCAAGGCTCTAGCCGAAGGCCGGTTGCATCCAGCTACGGTTTCGCCTGGCACACCATGTCATAGCACTCTTCGGTTCAAATCGAGGTTTCAGTAACACTGTGTGAAGTATGCTCTGAGCTTGACTGCTTGTCCCCACCGCTTAGCGGAAGAGGAAAGCACGTATCCTAAAGCTTCTTCCTTTTCACGAGCGTTCATCGAACATGGTAGCACGCTTGTGGTGTTCTTCCTCCGCGGTCTGGAGACTTCTTGCCCGAATCTTGTGCGGCAACAGAAACCTTCCAAGCTGACTATGGGCTGAGTTAAGGGTTTTGATGGTATTCCTGTGATGACCTATGGACCTATGTGCCCGTTTCGCAGACAAGACTTCCCTAGCTTGAGAATGGAGCATGCTAGTTTTGGCAGGAGCCTCCAGTCTTGTTAATTCCACGATATCTGCAGAGCGGTGGCATTGCAGGGCAGCTGGACTGTGTCCGATGCCGGCCAGTATGCTCCTTCGACCCAGCATGTGCAACGAGTCTTGGATGCAAGTTTGCTGTGGGGTCCTACCTCCCTTGTTGCACAGACCAGAGCATCCTCATGGCGCAAAAGCGAAGGCAGCATGTGAACCTGGGCAGCTTCATGGTCACGTCAGTGCTGTGAGCTCAGAGCACAATAATTCTTCAAGCAACTCTTGCTTTGACGGCTCCAGGCCTGCCTCACGCGGATCCGCTTTCGCAGCCCCACAAGTCCTCAATGGTGGTCGGACACCCGGGCATCTGGCCTGGGACTCGGCTGCTGAGAAAGTGACGAGTCTTGCTGCATCCCGCATCAAAGCCTTTATTGACATGGCACGTGCGCTTCGTCGTCGTCATCCTCATGCTCATTCTTATCCTCATCATCCAGAGACCAGTCCAGCTAGCCCTGTCGTTTATTGAGCCTCAACCCAACTCTCTGAACCTGCATTGTCGAGCGCTGTGTCAGATAGGGATGGCAGTGTCAAGCGCGGACCAGGAAGCAGACAAGTGCTACTTGGATGATTTTGTCCCAGCCTGAGCTGCAGAGCACACAATGACAACAGTTTGCATGGGATGATGTTGGGACACATATAAGATTTCAAGCCCACGTCCATACAAAGATGCACAGATACAGGATGCATAGGTATATCCGTAGGCTACATAGGTGCAGAGGCAAAGATTTACGAACATGTCTCACCCTATATCGCGCTGGTGAGCACGCACATTCATGAACATCGGACCTTGCGTTGAGATCGTGATTTTAACTTATGACGCCCACTTCTTTGATCCCCCTGATACCGAGCGTTCGACCAAGAGTCGGCCCTCAGGCCTGGTGAAACATTATGGAGAAAGACTGTAGAGTAGAGTCTAGGACGGGAGTCTAGCATGTTCCAGTTGCTACCTATACTTGTTTGGGAAAATTCGAGCCTGGCGATGTTGTGGTAACCTCGGATGCGAAAACACTGCCAGGCTCCAATATCCCAGGATGCCTGAAACCTGAAATGCAAAAGTAATAGAAGAACAGCTGTACCATGTACTCATACATGAGCCTTCAATTGCTGCAGTTCCCAACTGTGCTCTTGCTTCATTCATCGAACAAAGTCATAGCTGTCGTTAAGATCACCTTGTAGAAGAGCAGACGTACTCTATAATATTGAAACCTGCCTGTGTTTGTGGATGCTTCAGAACGTTTTCTGCGACTGCACATGTTCGTTGAACTTTAGATCATGTTTAGATACTGTCGAGTTCTTGTTTCTGCATCGAGGTAAGGTCTTGCTTACCGTTTAGACGCTTGCCCGTTGCTTGAACAAAGAAGCAGTATTTCTCGTATTTTGTACTAATTCACAAACTAAAGAAGCTGATAAGCTCCGATAGTTCATATCATTACACATAAGGTGAATTCCCCAATAGTACTGTCTTGCCCGGAAGTGCACGCGTGCACCTTGTGACAAGTAGAGCGAAACAGCTGAACTGTGACACTCCTGTTAGAGCAGCTGTGTCCTCTCGAGGTTTTGCCTTTTTAGACAGCGTCAGCTAGGTCCTTGTGCAGCCATGGCTGAGGGACGCAAGAAGTTGAACCCGTCAGTGATGGCGGCTCTCAAAGTGCTGTGTGAGGCCAAAGAGGACGACCTCATGGATGCCCTTGAGGAGTACCGGGTCGCACATCGAGCTCGCCTGTCAGCTTTGTTCGGACAGAGCGTGGCGGAAGGCTTGGACTCGTTCAAGCAGGTCGGCAATGAGGCTGCCTCCTTTGACCCGGCAGTCTTGGCTTCGGCCCTGTTCGGAGAGCTCCCCGACCTATCGGAGCCCGGACAGGACCCGTTAGCCAGTGGCTCGACTGAGGTGGAGCCGGCCCACACTTGGGGTCAACCTGCCGATGAAGACCCTCCCGTCCGCAGAGTTGGACTACAGCCAGTTCGACATGGCGGGCCAGTCGGCATGTGCAGCTGACACTGGTGGCCTGTTCGGAGGCTGCCCTGCTCAACCAGCCCAGGGAGCCGTGTTCGCCGGTAAAGGCACGGTTCCAGGTCAGGTCTCCAAGAGCAAGAGCAAAGGAACCGTGCCGCAGCAGAAGGCTCCCCCTGTTAGGCCAGCCGACTGGAAGCCACCGGCCAGTTCGTCGAGCTCTGGGGCAGCCGCGTCTACTGACACCCGATGCTGCCAAGAAGGCTGGGACACCGAGCAGCAAGGGCACCGAGAAGGGGAAGGACAAGACCCGTCAGCACAACGAGCAGCCGCAGCCCAAGGCCACCGAGGACACCGACGCGCAGCCAAAACTCCCGTCAGGACCACCGCCTGGCTACTTTCTCGGTTACACTGGAGACCCACTTGGAGCTGCGGTGCCGGTACCTACGGAGGGCAACTTGCCCCCGTGGGCGCCACTCGTGGCAGAAGACGGGCAACCTTTTAGCACAACACCGCCAAGCTACTGGGACCTTAGGTCCGCATGTAGGGTCAGGTGCCCAAAGTGTTTTAGCCACACCTGTACGAGGCACAATCTCAGGGGCTACAGACGTGCCCATAGCAGGCATCGTTGCCCCACCTGTACAAAAGCCGATGCCTAGGAACCTGTCAGTGTAAAAAGAGGGGGCCCGTCAGAGCTGACGTTTTGTCTGGTCAGCGACCCAATGTGACGGTACCCCCCGCTCGTCAGAGCACCTTGCAAGCTAGCGACGTCGAGGTCCGACCTCCTTTTTCGCCAGGCTGGCCGTGCAAAAAGCGCCCGTCAGGGCAGGGCGCCGTTTGCGGTCGCCACAACATGTTCAGTTTGCCAGTCAGCAGGTGTTCTAAGTAAAGTGCAGCCACTCCCCCTTTCAGCTCCAGCCGGTGTGTGGTCTCGCTCCCTCCTCTGCTAGCTCACTCGTAACAGTGTGCAGGAAGGTGTGTGCCAAGGCTAGTGCCTGTTAGTTGCTAAGTGCAGGTTTTGCGCGTGTGTGTGTCTGTGCGTGTGTGTGTGTGTGTGGTCGGGCCGGGTCGTCACACAAGCTGGTCACGGCTTGAACGTTACACGTCAGGTGCACTTTTCTTGTTAGGTAAGGTGAGCCCCAACAAAATGCAGCCGAGACTCGTCGAGCCCCCTAGTCAGCCTTAGCCGTTAGGGCGCCAGAGTCATGTGGTCAGACGCCGTCAAGTCAGAACGGCACACTTTTGCAAGCCTTACAGAGGTGTTGCTGTGCAAGAAGCTCGTGCAGTTCCTGCCACAGCTCCAGTCAGCTGGCATTAAGTCAGCTTACGACCTCGAGAGCCACCCGAGGTCCAGCCTTCGAGCTATCCTTGGGGACGTTGCCTTGGACGAATTGTTAGCCCCGCCAGCTCGGCCTAGCAAGAAGCCCCGTCAGGACATACCGAAGGTGCTGCCCCGGACACGGGGTTCTTTGCAGAGGTTGGGCATCGAGCCAGCCCCGCCAGGGTGCAACGCAGTGTCCCAGTTAGACCTCGTTGAAGCCGACAGGCTTTTCTTGCAAGAGCGTTGGGCTGCAACTTCTCAAGCCCCTAGAGAGAGCCGTTGGACCACCTGGACTCGCCTGTCCGAGCGCCGAGGATTCCCTGGCATCCCTGTGTCCCGTGAGTCCCTCTTTGCAGTCGGGGCCCTTTTGAAGGCCGGTGGTTACCGTTCAGCCTCGCAATACATCTCGGTAGCGAAGCAGAAGCATAAGGAGGCGGGGTTTGTTTGGGGCCCAGACCTAGACGAAGCACGTGCCCAGGCGCTTCGCAGCATAAACCGGGGCCTTGGCCCGGCAACCCCGAAGCTGGACCTCCGGTTAGAGAATGCAGGACCTCGTTTTACACAGGAAGTCAAGATGGCCTTCGACGAACTTCGAGTGCCCCAGTCAGATAGGCTGAGGTTCGCAGCACAAGCATGCATCACAGCGTGCTGGTTCATGCTCCGAGGTATCGAGCTGGCTAACGTCCAGGCCAGGGACGTTACCTTTAATAGAGCGGCTCGCACAGTGAAGCTGCAGTTGCCAGTTAGCAAAACGGACACGGAGGCCAAAGGTTGCTACCGGCTACACCGTTGCATTTGCAACCCCAGGCACTCGTCAGGGTGCAAGATGACTACCCCACCGGAGTTGTTCGGTACAGCCTTTCAGAAGTGCCAATGCGACGAGGGCATGCACATCCTTTGCGTGTACCACGCCCTTCTCCAGGTAGTCGTACAGCTGCGCCGAGAGCAGACCTGGCAGCCAGACACACACCTGTTCACTGCCCGGTCAGCTGAGGTTGCTTCGAAGGCACAGGTGGTATTCCTAGCGCGGGCATGCGCCTATGTGTTGCAGCAAGAGCAACTAGACCAGTGGGGACACGATGCAGTGTCCCGCTGGTCACAACACGTGTTCCGGGTAGCAGGTGCCCAGTTATTTGCACGCTCTTTCCTAGATGTCACATACATTCAATTGATGGGCCGCTGGGGAGGCACTTCGGTGCTCCGTTATGTCCAGGAGGCCGCCGTCATGCTGCCAGAAAAGGCATCGGAAGCAGTGAGCGTGCATGTCGGCAACACCTCCCGTCCCCCTACACCCGGTAGTAGCAGTCAGACACCTAGTCAGCCAGTTCAGCAAGGCCTTTTGCAGGACCTAGTGCGAGAGGCCGTTCAAAATGCCTTACAAGGTTCGCAGCTTCTAGTCCACAACACCCGTTCGAAGTTGTGCCACCTGCCTTCCCCCAGTGAGAGTCGATTGTCTAGCGAGTCCTGGGTTACTTTGTGCGGAAAGTGGTGGTATGGAACCAGCTCCACTAGGAGGAACTTGTCTGTTCTAGAGGGGTACACTAAGTGCTCTCTGTGCTTCCCGTCAGCTGAGGACCGCGGTCGCCCGGCAGCCTCCAGTGTTCAAGCTAGAGACGTAGAGTCCGGCACTGATTCAGACTCCTCTCAGGAGCACAATGCCGTCGGCTCCGACTCTGCCAGAACTCGATGATGTGGCGGCCAGGGCAGGTTTTGACACCGAGATCATCGCTTTCCTGTCAGCTAAGGGCATCACCAATGCAGGTTTGTTCCTCCACTACTTCACAGACCATGCAAAGATCGCCCCTTTCTTTGAGCCGTTGCGGGCGGGCTTCGACCTGGCAGGCAGCACAGTCAAGCGCACAGAAGATGAGAGGCTCATCTTAGAAGCAGCTACACTGGTAGCGCTCGATGAGCTGTCGGTGAGACGCTCTCAGATGCTTGCAGCAGCTGCCCCAGTGGCTCCAACCGCCCCGTCAGGACCCTCTGCACCTTCAACGTCAGACTCCGACAAGGTCCCCAAAACTTTGCCAAAGAACTACTGGGCCGAGTACGTTAAAGAGTTCGAGTCAGTTGTCCTGTTAGGTCGTAACAGAGAGTTCCCAGCCCACCTGTTGTTGGGTGCTGAAGAAGTGTTGGCAAGAATGGTGCATCAGCACCTAGTCTCCAAACAGTATTCTCCTGTCCGACTTGGCGAAATCATCTCCTTGCGTCATTTTACACCGAGCAAGGCAGCCAACCCGTTCGCACCTAAGGACGACAACCGCACCAAGATGATCCTCGACGACTCAGGTACCTTCACCAAGGCCATGCGT